ACCTCTAAATTTAATTTTACTAATCTCACCTCAGCCTAAACTTTTAATTACATCTGGTCTTCTGACCATATAACTAGGTTTATCCTGTACAATGGCATCTACTTTGTGTGTGGACACAAAGCTTACACATGGGTATCACCATCTTGGATAGGGTCATGTTACTTGGGCTACTTGGTGCCATTTGTGTGTTACATGTTATCCTTCTTGAAGGGATTATCGGGACAAACGTGCCATCACAGAAATGGAAGGGTTCTTTGCTATCCCGTTTCCCTTCTCTACGGTGCTGGCAAACTAGCCAGAGAATTTATCAACACAGCAGCAGTCCAAGAATAAGTGGTCAATGATACCTCACAGGACCTGGGCAAGATAAGTACAGAAATGATTGCCATGCAAACCATCGAATTGCAGAACTGAAATGCCTTAGACAGGATAATAGCCAAGGGGGTAAACGCGCACTCATTAGAAGAGAGTGTTGCATGTATATCCCCGACAACTTGGAGGAAATTACTGACTTGGCTGACTATATCCTATAAGAAGTGGACAAACTCAAACAACCCTGGCCTCGATCCTATGGAGTTGGGCAACGGGGTAGCTGGGATCCTTAGGGACGTCTATTGCTCAGGGAATAGTAATTTTCATCGTCATTGTGTTCCTATGTTATATCATTTATGGCCTTTTTAGATGTTTCATTACTACAATAGTGAAGATGATGACTGCGGAAGGGCCACGGACTGAGAAGGTGGCTCTGCTGCATATGACGAAGATAATGAGTTTCTAGTGGAACGACGAAAGTAATGACAAACTCTGACACGGTGGGAAGAGGATTGTATACGTGACAGGGCTGAAAGAAGACTACTCATGTACTGTTGTTTTGTCTACGGGTATAAGGACACTGCTATGAGTGACCACCTGACTTGAATGAACTTTTAAATACCTTGCTTTGAACATACGCATTAATAGTGTCCCTACGGCCATCATCTGGCCCTGGGCCAAAGTGGGGGAACTGTTAAGGCTGCCCATATTTGAGAAACACAAAATGGCTGACAGCTAAGCTGCCCCTCTAGCCCTGCAAAAAATGGCTGACAAAGTGGATAAACAGAATTAAAAGCTTGCTCCATCATTTAAGTAAGACACAGTGGTACCTTTGAGAAGGGGTTATTCTGAGGCAAAAGGGAGCCATGCATAAACAATAGCTGCAAGGAGATTTGATCAAGACAGTTTTCATAAGAAACATACAAGAACTAGGAGCAGGAGTAGGCCGTCTGGCCCTTCGAGCCTGCTCCGCCATTCAATAAGATCATGGCTGATCCTTTCGTGGACTCATCCACTTACCTGCGTTCTCACCGTATCCCTTAATTCCTTTATTGTTCAAAAAAAATCTACCTTTTTTTTAAAAGCGTTTACTGAAGTAGTGTCAACTACTTCACTGGGCAAGGAATTCCACAGATTAACAACCCTCTGGGTGAAGAAATTCCTTCTCAGTTCAGTCCTAAATCTGCTCCCTCTAATCTTGAGGCTATGCCCTCTTGTCCTAGCTTCACCTGCTAGTCGAAACATCCTCTCTACTTCTAACTTATCTATTCCCTTCATAATTTTATATGTTTCTATAAGATCCCCCCTCAATCTTCTGAATTCCAATGAATATAATCCCAATCTACTCAGTCTCTCCTCATAAGCCAACCCCCTCAACTCCGGAATCAACCTAGTGAACCTCCTTTGTACCCCCTCCAGTGCCAGTACATCCTTTCTCAAGGAAGGAGACCAAAACTGCACACAGTACTCTAGATGTGGCCTCACCAGCACCTTGTACAGCTGCAACATAACCTCTCTGCTTTTTATTTCAATCCCTTTAGCAATGAAGGACAAAATTCCATTTGCCTTCCTAATTACTTGTTGTACCTGCAGACCTACCTTCTGTGATTCATGCACAAGGACACCCAGGTCCCTCTGCATAGCAGCATGCTGCAACTTTTTACCATTCAAGTAATAATCCTTTTTGCTATTACTCCTACCAAAATGTATGACTTCACATTTATTTACATTGTATTCCATCTGCCAGACCTTTGCCCACTCACTCAATGTATCTACGTTCCTCTGCAAAGTTTCACAGTCCTCTGCACACTTTGCTTTGCCACTCATCTTAGTGTCATCTGCAAACTTTGACACCCTACATGTGGTCCCCAGCTCCAAGTAATCTATATAAATTGTAAATAATTGCGGTCCCAACACCGATCCCTGAGGCACACCACTAGTCACTGATTTTCAAACATTGAAAAGGCAAACTCATGCAAATAACAACCGCAGATGAATTAATGGGATTATGGCTCATAAAAATCTGGAGGATCAGACAAGTTCATTAAATTATGACAGTGACTGATTCGAGTCTCATTAATGAAAGAATGTTGTCCCATTAGGTGAAGAGATAGTTAGGACTATCCAGTTAGGACTAAAGGGTGTAAATCATCCCAGAAGACAGTCAGTCTAGCTTATCATGCATCTGTGGAAAATAGCACATAACAGCAGATGATGGCATTTTGCAGCAATTAGTTGCTTCTTTGAAATTATTCACAATATTAAGAAATGGGTTCTAGTAAATGATTCTTCAGATAATCACAGAGATAGATTTCAACATAATTATAAATACACATGTATAACAAAATACAAAGATCACTAAAAGCATGGGGGGAAAAGATTCAAATATGATTATGAAAGTTGATTCGTCTTGGGAAGCTTTCCTTTATGCCTAGTGTACCCTGTAAGAAACAAATTGCTCCCAACTCATTAGCTAAAGAGTGCTAACAGTAGGGGTAGATATAAAAACTTTACATATAGCTAACTTTATAATATAAATTAATATTATGAATCTATAGCAGTTAGTAAGAACCAGCTGTCTTTTGTATTTTTTTTTACAGAATTAGGACAGTGAGAAAATATGAGGGGAGACAGAATTTGATAGAGATAGCAAATGAATACAATGAACAACAGAATTCAAGCAGTCCTTAGAGATAAGCAAGTCTGGGACATGTCTGAAGGAGTATAGCCAGGAATCCTGGAATGTGAATTCCCAAGGCCTGGTGATTACCATGTCTGTTAAACACCATGAGATCATGTGAACCTAGGGCTGTCCACAAGAGTGTCTATCATTGATTAGGTGTTTCATGGCATTGAATGTATACCATATTGTATGTGATTACTGTAACACACAATGTATAAAAATATTGTATCCCATTGTGAAAACCAGAGTGTCATTGATCGCTCCTCTGATCTGAGCTAAAGATTAAGGGGATAACTGAGCCCTCGTGTTGAGGCTGGATTTGGGGGAAGTCTGTGACCCTCTCCCTGCATGATCTGGAGACTGCTTGATTTCTGCCTGCCTCCTGAATTTTTGTCCCTAGTCTAGGGTTTCGCTTCTACAGAATATATCTGTAACGCAAAATGAAATTATGCATTTTTAAATTGTGCATGGTGTAGTAACTCAAATTTGACATGAACTAATTTGGTGGAAATGGTTAAATACACTAGTGTTTGTTCATTATATCAAAAATAGTGAACAAAGAGGAGGGACTGTGAGAGTGTAAAATTCAGAATTTTATTAACTGTTCATGGGTTGAATGATTCAGCAAAAACCTTGCACGGAATAAACTGTTAAGGGACATGGACGAAGCAATTAGTCATTCCTAGGGAAAAATAGGAGTCAAAGCTACATAAACAAAACAGTTTTCACACCTGCAAGATAACTGATTGTGTAATGCCACAAGAACAAATGATTGCTCGGCAGAATAATTTAAAGAGTTAATCGCAGGAGATCTGCGTCTTCAAACAGACAGTCAATGAAAATGTAACAAGGAACAGGAAACCTACTTCTGGTAAGGAGACAAACTGCAGACTTGAAAGTTCCAGAGCAGTAGTCAGTATTGTGGGCAAAAGAATCTAAAGGATCATCAATAATGTTACACCATAAACTTGGAAGTCAGAAAACTGTAAAATTTAACCCCAGAATTCCTCAGCAGCATAACTTTGAAGAACAACATTACATAAGGATGGAACACTGCACACATCCAGAGACAGACACTGTTGGGTGGAATCGTAGTTAATTTCCACCATTAATAGGTAATAGCCAAATTGGGTTGTGAGGCTTAACTTGCTTACTTGAGGGGTCTTATTTTTCAGTTGCTACATGCATTAAAGTTTAAATCATCTTCTGTGATATTTCCCAATAAGTTGCCAAATTAAAGGTAGCTTGAGGTCATTTATCTACATCAACTCCAGTCTCCCAACCTACCTTGATCCCCTCCAATTTGCCCACAGTGGCTCAGTGGCTAGCACTGCTGCCTCACAGCACCAGGGATCTGGGTTCGATTGGGTGACTGTCTGTGTGGAGTTTGCACATTCTTCTTGTGTCTTTGTGGGTTTCTGCTGGGTGCTCTGGCTTCCTCCCACAGCCCAAATATGTGGAGGGTAGGTGAATTTGCCATTCTAAGTTGCCCATGGTGTTCAGGGATGCGTAGGTTGGGTGCGTTGGCCACGGGAGGTGCAGGGTCACATGGAAAGGATGCTCTTCGGAGCGTCAGTGTGGACTCGTTGGGCCGAATGGTCTGTTTCCACACTGTAGGGATTCTACGATGATAAACAACAGTGTCAGCTCTCCGGTGTGCATGGTCAGGAGGAAACTGAGATACTGAGCAAATTTCCTTCCACCCTCATTGAAGTTGAATGATATTGCCACAGTGAGAGTCCTCTGGTATTTTTGCAATGTGGATAAATGAGCAAGTCCCTTCCCCTAGTCAGTGCAGATGAATGGTCTCTCCTCAGTGTATCTGTGTTTGTAGCTTCCAAGTGCAGGTGGGAATGTGAATCACTTCCCACTGTCCTATAAGTTTTCGGGCTGATAATTTAAACACAAATCCGTCAATTAATTTGATAATTTGAGACTTTAACTAAGAAGATAACAGGAAGCAGTCTAGCGCAGCATCAGAGGTTATGTATATTATAAATATTACCTGAAGAAGGGCAGTGACTTCATGGGTGCACTGCAGCTCTTAATCAATCTCAAATTGGCTCTTAAATGTTTTGGACATTGACTGATGTCACCTCCCAATATCTCCTGACTGGTTCCTTAAGTTGTCGATTTACCCATGGGCCTAGCCTCTTCAATAAGCTTTCCAGTACCACTTTGTGACTTTTTTCGAAAATAACACTTCAAACATTTTCATTATTTGTCTTTCTGTTAGAAAAAAAGAAGCATATATAAACAATCAGGACCAAAAACACATAGATATCCTTAATCAACCTTTCAGGCATGTCAGGTACATTACCACTGGGGCAAGTAACAGCTATTTTTTGTTTTAAAAATAAGTAAACAACTGGTTTGGACAGAGCTCTAGCACCGGTGAGAATTGAATGTGGATTTTCTGTTTCAGAGACAGGAACATGATCACTGCACCAGCACAGCCCGATCCAAAGTTTGATATCCTTGAGCAGAGATCTCCCTCATTGGCAGAGAATCTTCCTTTTTGGGAACCTGATTTGTGTCAAACTTGAGGACATACTAAACTTTTCTGTTTGTGGCTTTAAACAGAGGAATCAATCTGTTACTGAAACAGATTAATTCAGGACAGGCAGCAGTGATTATCTAAGGCAATAACGCTACGCAGTAAGAAAAGACAGTCAGTGTCAGGTCAGGGACCTGGAACTTCTAACTGAACGTTTGAGAACTGAAGTAATTTGGAATAGGAAATTAGAAAATGATAACAATGCGAATAGCTAGAAACAAGACATTTATTAATCTCCTCTTATCAAAGGAAAATAAACAACAAAGATGCCCCATGAACTCTTTGTTCAGAGGAGAGAGAACCCTTTCCAAATGAATTAACTTGTGTTTAAGATATTAACAAAAAAAGTTGCAACACCCTGTTTTACTTAGCATAAAGCTCATCAATTTGAATACATTGGAGCATATATGTTAGGAGTGGAGAAAGGCATTTATATCCTTAAGCCTGTTCCTCGAAATAATGCACTGATGGCAGATCTCATTGTGGCCTCAACCCCACATTCCCACCCATCCTAGATATTCTTTGCTCAATTATTAGTCAAGAATCTATCTCTGCATTAAACATTTTCAATGACTGTCTTCATTGCTTCTGGGGCAGAGTTCTCATGACCCGACTACAGAAAACATTCTTCTCACCTGCATCTTAAAACGGGTGAGTCCTTATTTTCAGACCCACTCAGAAACCTTCCATTACTTCAGTCCAGTATCTTTACTCCGACTTTACCTATGTTGACTCTACATGAGGATCTCGGAAATTGCCTAGTAGTCTATGATGTGGCGCCTTGTGAAAATCTAAGTTGCGCACATCCACAAATCCCCCTTTTTTGTATATTGCCTGTCACTTCATCAGATAACTCCAACAGATTTAATCAAGTACGGTTTCCCCTTTCTCAGAATCAAATTGACACTACTTGATTGCACTGAAAAGTTCTAAGTGCCCAGCATTTTTGTTTTGACAGATGCTGACTAACTTGCTGCTTTTTGTCTCTCTCCTTAATTCAATGGAAGAGCCACATTTAATGTTTACCAATCTGGTGGGACTTCTTCAGAATCTAATGAACTTTTGGAAGATTAAAACCAGGTTAAAGTCCATCAAGGGCTAGGAATTTGTCAGTTTTCAGTTATCATTTTCTTAGTACCCTTTCCAGGTAGTCATAATTGACTGAAGTTCCTTGTGTCTTCTTACCTCAGGATACAGAATTATTTCTGGCTTACAAATTGCATCCTCTACAGTGAGGGCAGATACAAAATTTATTTTCATTTTATTTACAATTTCCACATTTGCCATCATTAACTCCTCAGTATCAGTCTCTAGAGGACCAATAGTCACTTTCTTCCTCTTCATATTTAAATATATGTAGAATCTCTTCCTGGTTTTCTATTCCTGGGTACCTTTCTCTCATGTTCTAATTTCCCACTTCTTATTGATTTTTAGTCATTCTGTGATGTTTATATTCGATCTAATTTTCTGACGTGACATTCATCTTTGCAAAATTAACAGTAAAATCCAATCACTGTAGTTCCTTGTGAACTCGCTGGTGTCTCAATAGGGTGAACGATTCACTGAATCTCTTCCCACATTTGGAGCAGGTAAAGGGCCTCTCCCCTGTGTGAACTCGCTGATGTCTAAGCAGGGTGAATGACTCAGTGAATCCCTTCCCACACTCAGAGCAAGTGAATGGCCTTTGCCCAGTGTGAACTCGTTGGTGTTTCTGCAGATTATATGATTGAGTGAAACCCATACCACACTCAGAGCAGGTGAACGGTTTCTCCCTGGTGTGAACTCGCTGGTGCTTCTGCATATTTGATAATTGAGTGAATCCTTTCCCACACTTGGTGCAGGTGAATGGCCTCTCACCACTGTGAACTTGCAGGTGTTTCTGCAGGTTAGATGACTGAGTGAACCCCTTCCCACACTCAGAGCATGTAAATGGCCTCTCACCAGTGTGAACTCGTTGGTGCTTAGTGAGTTCGGATGGGGTCTTGAACTGACTTCTGCAATGATTGCACGTGAACAGTCTCTCATCAGTGTGAACACGTTGATGGGATATCATTTCCCAGGAACTTTTGTAGCATTTCCCACACTCCAGGCATTTAAAAGGTCTCCGATCAGTGTGACCACGCTGGTGTTCCAACAAGTTGGACAAATTAGTGAACCCCTTGTCACACTCTGAGCAGGTGAATGGCCTCTCCCCAGTGTGATTGCGATGATGGGCTTCTAACTCAGATGGGAATCTGAATCCCTTCCCACAATCCCCACATTTCCACGGTTTCCTCCGGCCGTGGCAGCGTTTATGTTCTGACAGACCAACCAACTGGTTGAAATCTCGTCCACACACAGAACATATGTATTGTTTCTTCCCACTAGGATTGGTACTTTTTCCTTCCATGTTCAAAATCTGATGATCCATATTATAATCCATTGGGTGACTCCATCAGCTCGTGCAATATTTGTTTTCAGTTTCCCAACTGCAAATTCTCCACTTCTAATGCCCTGTGAAATTGATTTGAAACACAAGAAAATGGAATAAGAGAAAACCTTGCACTCTTTGGGGCAACTTAACTAGCAATGTGAAAGGGAAAGCAACATTAATTCTGTATTAGAAGTGCTGACCTTCCTACCAAAATGAATCCTATCACATTTCTCCACTGACATTATCTTCCAACTATCTTCCCATCTTGTTGACTTGTCTGGGTACTCTTGATGTTTACCTTTCTTTCTTTGGGCAAGATCTACAAGAAGGATGTAAAGAAAAATAACGTTATGTAGTGAATGGTAATTACTTTAAACTTAGTACTTACATTCAAAGACTGATAACATCCATGACCTGATACACCCAAAGATGTGACATTTGTTTGGAGTTTCCAGTCTTCAAACCCTCTATGAACATTCTTTTAAAAAACCTCTTCGCATCCATCGCTGTCAGTCCAGGGCGTGAATTCAGAAAAGGAAAACAACTCCCCCAGTTTGAGTTTACTCTATGTAAATCCTCTTCTCATGTTCCGGAAGGCTGCGCATGTGTCCTTTTGCACGCACCCCCCAGTAAAGATGGTGGCTGTAAGCCGGGCCCAAAGCTTGCAGTTGTTTTCGTCTTTGCGGCAAACGAAGGACAGGGAGTTTTTAATTCCAGGTTTGGTGCGTACCCAAAATGTTTTACAAAGATTCACCGTTCACTGGATGACCCATTGCTTGCTTATTCCCGCTTCATTGGTAAAACGTCCGGAGCCAAGAAACAAAACGCTGTCCCGCACCACCACGCAATCAGTACGTGCTCAAGGCAGTCAGTAATCCGCGCATGCGCACCGCTTTCCTATTCAGTCGATAGGAAATTTTTTACAGCACGGGGCACTCCGGGTAGGTTAGCCGCCATTGTAACATCGCTTTGTCCTAGCAGACTGTTTTGTGTTATGTTTTGGAGGATTGAGGAAAAGAAGGTATAAATTAAAATGGTAGGAAACGAATTATACCGATACCATCTGACTCAAAGACTGGTGCAATAATGTAATACAATTTTGATTCCGATAGTCACAGAACTGTTCCAGTCGAAAGAGTCCTTTCGGCACATGGAGGCCGTGAATATTTCACTTGGTGTTATCCTCCGACGGTCTCCACCTTAACACTGCTTATTGTTCATTTCCAAAGAACTACCTAATTACCTTTTGAATGCGTCTGTTTTTAGTTTTGTCTTCTTGAAGTCAGTCCCCTGAACTGAGATTCTAAATTTCCTGTTGTTACTTTTTTCTCTAGGAGATTCTAAATCCCCTGTTTATATTTTTTTGGTTTCCCCCACACTACTGCTATACAGTAGTAGTGTTTACTTTTCCCCACAGCACCCGTTTTGTGTGTGTGTGAGTGCAGGGACTCAATGAACACACCACAGTGAACTTAACATACAAATTAGGAGCAGGAATATGCCATTTGGCCAATTTAGAACACTCAACCATTCAGGGTGATCATGGCTGATCATCCAATTCTATTCCCACTTTCTCCCCTTATGCTTTGATTTCTTTAGCCTTAAGAACTATATCTAAATCCTTCCTGGAAATATTCAATGTTGACCTCAACCACTTTATTGGCAGAGAATTCCTTAAACTCTTCATTCACTGGGTGAGGAAATTTCTCCACATCTGAGTCCTAAATGACCTACTCCATATACTTAGACTCTGACTGCTGGTTCTGGACTCGCTAGTCATTCAGAACATAGACCCTGTATTGTCTATTCCTGTTAGTATTTTATAGGTTTCTGTGAGGTACCCCGTCATTCTTCTAAACTTCAATAAATACAGTCTTAACTGATCCTGTTTCTCTTCACACATCAGTCCTGCCATCCTGGGAATCACTCTGGTAAATCTCCATTGCACACCCTCCAGAGACAGAACATATATCCTCCCATAAGGAGACCAAAACTACACACAATACTTCAGGTGTGCAATCCCCAAGGCCCTATTCAATGCAGCAAGAAATTCCTGCTCCTGTACTTGAATCCTTTCATTCTGAAGGCCAACATACTATTTGCCTTCTTTACAACCTGGCACACCTGCATACTTACATTCACTGACTGGTATACAAAAACACCCAGGTCACGTTGCACTACCCTCTTTCATGCATTTACCTAATCACTCTACTAGTCCAAATGACAGTGAAGCATCCACCTGACTGCTCGTCATCCCCCACAGCCTTATGGCTTCGATAAACATGCACATTTACACGTAGTTTTCTCATCTATATCATTAATATATATTGTGAACAACTGGGATCCAAGCATTGCATGTTTCATTATACCACAATTCACTTTCAGCCATTCAGGATAAAACAAACACATTTATTCCTACTCTTTGTTTTCTGTCTGACAACGAATTTTTGACCTATGTCAGTCCACCACACCCAATCCTGCATGCTTTGATTTTACATAGAACCATACAATTTTATATTACAGAAAAACACAATTTGGCCCATTGTATCTGTACTAACTTCTGAAAGTGCTACCCAGCTAATCCCATTCTCCTGCCCTATTTCTGTAGTCCTCTAAATTCACTTTCAAATATATATCCAGCTGTCTTTTAAAATCTCCTATGGAATCTGCCTCAACCACTCTCTCAGGAAGCCCATTCTAAATCCTAACATCGGAGTACAGAAGTTTATCAGCACCTCACTCCTAGCATTCTTAAAATAATCTTGAATTTATGACCCATAGTAATTGACATACCAAGTAGTGGAAACAGAATATTCCTCTTTACCCTGTCAAAAGTGTTCATAATTTTGAACACCCCAATAAGGTCACCTCCTAATCTTCTCCACTTCAAGGAGAATAAGGCCACTTTCTCTAATCTTTTCTTGTACCTAAAATCTCAGATTCAAGGTACCATTCTAGTCAATCTTCTTTGCAGCCTCTCCGGGGCTTTAACATCCACCTTTAAATAAGGTTCGCAGAACTGAACATGCTAAACTCTTACAAATCTTATCAAGAGCCTTTTGAAATTCCAAGTAAACCACATCCGCTAGTTGCTCCTAATGAAATGTACATATTACATCCTAGAAGCATTCCAGTAGATTTGTCAAGCATAACTTCTGTATTGTGGTTTTAAATCCTTCTTTTAATTTTCCCCATTACCAATGCCAGGCTCAAGGGCCTATTATTCCCTGACAACAAGGTGCAGGGCTGGATGAACACAGCAGGTCAAGCAGCATCATAGGAGCAGAGAGGCTGACGTTTCGGGCCTAGACCCTTCATCAGAAAAGCTATTATTCCCTGTTTTCTCTCAACTCCTTTTTTCAATAGTTCAATTACATCAGTTACCTTCCAATCCACAGAACTCTTCCATAGTAGCTACAATCTTGAAAGATGACCATCAATGCGTCCAATATTTGCTAGGGTCACTTCCCTGATTACTCTTGGATTGAGATCATCGGACCGACGGATTTAGCGGCATTTAGTCCCATCAATTTCCCCATTTCGAGTTTTATTCTAATACTGACTTCCGTCAGTTTCTTCCTCTCACTATACACTGGTTCTCCAACATCTTTGGATGTTATTTGTGTCCTCCTTTGAAAGGGCAGAACCAAGTATGCATTTAATTTGCCTGTCAACTCTTTGTCCTCCATAATATCTTGCCCGGTTTCTGACTGAAGGGAACCCACATTTGTCTTCACTAATCTTTCTCTCTTCAAGTACCAAACAGACTTATACAATCAGATTATACCTTTCCCACAATGCCTGATTTAGAAGGGTAAATGGGCTAATTCTTGACTGGAGAATGGCAGGCCGGACAGAAGTGCCGGACCATCCACCTCCAATGGACAAACAGAAAACGCTGGGACCAATCGGGGGGGG